TGAGCTCCCCACCAAAGGCGCCAAAAAAAGCCAAGCATGCCTACGAACACCATCCAGCATCATCGCTTATATTTTCAACAGCAGCCGCAGGTACCTGTCGAACGCGCACAAAAACATCGTCCACGCTCTCGTTCGGAGTCCCGTCGGTGTTGGGAGGAGGGCGCCAAGTAAGGCTGACCGCATCCTTCTCGTAAACCTTGCGGTGGGAGAGTATGCGGGTAAGGGGGTGGTTCTCATGTAAACCTTGCCTTCAGCCTGTTGACTTCCAACACTAATTTAACGCCTTTCGAGAAAATGACCCCCTCTAAAATCTTCGCAAGACATGACCAAAAGTGAGGCATGCCTACAACGGGGGCAAGGGGAGGAGTGTGGACACCAGAAACGGGGTAACGTAAGGTGTACACCGTTGCTAGGAAAACAAGACCCCGTGATGCAAGGGGTAAAATACTCGCTCTCGAGGAGGACATGCACAGGAGAAGCGGCTCCGCGTGTTCCGTAAAGATATGTAACAGATTTATTGAGCAACAGAGCTGGCAAAACAAGGAACATGACCACAATCCAAGAAAACAAACTTCACGCACATTGCCCATGGATATCAACGATGCCCGTAGTCGGCACGTTCCACAAAGGGTATCTACCCACAATCTCCACGCCAAAATGCTAATGCTGTATCGAGGGGGCCAAGGGAGATCGCGCCGGCACTAGCTGTATCCGGGATCCCCCGAAAGTAAAGGACAACAACTTACATTGCGCGTAAAAAAAATACGAACGGCACTTTACCTATGCATACCAGCCGCCCTTGGTCTTATCTAGCACGGTCCAAAACAGACAGCTTGACGGGTAGCCTTGGAGGAACATTGATGCGAGGTGGCTCGAAACCAACCTCTTGGCACCAAAAGCGCTCAACAAAAAAATGGACGGCCGCAGCGAAAGAAAAGCCAAGTCCATGAGCACGGACGAGCTGATTTGACGGATGTAGTATAACCCCACCTCGGGAAGAACGGTCGCCACCTCCTTGCCGTCAAAGATTCCCATCCCTCGGGGCTCGAGGAACGCGTACTCGGGGATAACTCTCTCCTGATCGTTCCGTCACAAACGTCACAAGAACAAAAAAAGCGATATCGGTCCGTCACAAACGTAGCAAAAATAAAGCGATATGAAGAAAGGCTAAGCGCGTTCAGGGACATTTCCCTCCTCATCGTGCCGTCACAAACGGAACAAGAAAAATCGATAGCAAGGAAGGATTAAGCGTTTTTCAGGGATACCTCTCTCCTCATCGTCGCATCCCGAACACGAAAAGAGAGATTTCTTCAACAATGGGTTAACCAAGTCTGCATCTGTTGGCATTGCAGCCGGGGTCACACAGGAGGAAGGTGCCACGGCAACTTTTGCCTATGTAAGTACAACGATGAGAGGCAGACGTGTCTGGACCGCAAAAACCAGTGCGAAACACCACCAACAAGAGCCACACCAGGTTGTGGTTCAACACAGCAGTGAGCCTCTGCTTTGCGCAGAAACAAACACAACGCCGACACCTTCGTCTCCATGCAGCGGGGGCTCCGAAACACCATACCCGTACCCCTACAATAGCCGGTATCGAACAAAACAGACACCTCCAACACTGCACTTGAGCAATGTCCTTTTCAGATGACGACGCCGTCGTGAACAAACAAACCACTTACCGTAAGGTTGCGAGTCAGCGCACAGGGGTGCGATAGATTTTCAAAGCGCAATTTCTCCAGAACCAGGAGGATGCGAGCGCCAACTGATACTTCGCAGGAAAGCTCTCGATGATAAATCTCCAAAACTGCCCTTTTCGACAGTGGCAACCTCCTGGTTGTGGAGAAATTAGGCTTTGAAAGTCGTTCGCACTCCTGTGCGCTGACTCGCAACCTTACGGTACGTGCCGTTTCGCAATGAAACGTCAGCCGTGTCGCAATGAAACACCAGCCGTTTCGCAATGAAACGCCAGCCGTTTCGCAATGAAACGCCAGCCGTTTCGCAATGAAACGTCGGCCGTTTCGCAATGAACCGTCAGCCGTTTCGCAATGAACCGTCAGCCGTCTCGCCTACGAAAAATCAACAGTAGGTACGATGGCTTCGGGACGCGATGCTCAAGGCTGCCGCTGCATCATCTGACACGATGGCTTCACAGCGCGATACACAAGGGTGCTGCTGCAACGCCTTGCGCACATCTAGATAGCGGCGAAACACTTACCTGGCGGATGCCGAGCTCTTGGGCCAAGATTCTAGCCGTGTCCTGAGCGCGACTTTGCAAGAACACGCGACATGTTGTTTTGAAACGAAAAAAAGTCGACAGGGGGCGGGAGGACGGGTGTTCAAAAAGCGATAGAAACCAAATTTGTGGCTGGAGAACGCACTCGTGACCCACACGGGAGCAGACGGATACCCGCAAATAATAGCCCTCCCAGGCGATTCAATTCTAGATCAACGTGGACGATGTAACCATGTCCACCCTATGAGTGAGCCATCCGGGCTCCGGGAGATTGGGTCCAGCTGCTGTTCGGTGCAAACACCCCGCTCTTCCCCGCGCCCCCATTATTTTTACTTAGTAGAAAATATACATGAAGACACAGAAAGGCTACCAGTTCGAGCATAAAACCACAGTCGGAGGGGGTGTGCTGAATTCTATCAGTCAGTGGAGGGAAACCGCCTGAAAACTGGGCATATTGTGAGTCTGTTTAGGCCCATTTCTTTGTTAGAAACAACACGTTATATTTTGTTCCTTTACCTGGAGATGTCGGCCCAGATGAAGGCGTCGGCCACGCCCAGCGCCCGCAGCACGCCCGCGGCCCGCTGCGTCTCCTCCACCCCCTGGTCGGTGAGGCGGTTGTCGACGTGGAGCTTGTCGATTGGGTGGGACTGGACAACGCCTTCCTTGTCCGAGCCCCCCTGGCCCGACCTCATCAAGAAGTAGCGGTTGTTGAGCCTGATAAATAAATTCGTGTAAAAAATTGGGCAGCAGCAGTGAGCGGTCGTTGTTTTGTGCCTCTGCGACATGATGTGGGCGGCTTCGCGGTGCAATGAAGAAGGGGTTGCGACTTCTCTTGAGCCATCTCTGGTTGACAGGAACTCCATGGGTGGTGATGACGATCGATCACGAGGGGTCTCGTGGGTCGTACCCATCGAAGGTGCACGCGAGCGCATGCTGACAAACTGCTGTACACACAAAGTTATCTTCGAATAAACACGAATCATAATAAAAACAGTTTTTTTTTTCCGAAAAGGGTGGCCCGTATAGGGGTACGCTTTTTGTTTTGCAAAAAAAAAGCTGTTTAGAGGGATCGTGTGTGGAGTATGTGCGCACGAGAAAAATAATAATTTTCATGCCCAGGGGCGTGAAAATTTCGCAATGGCTGTCTGGTGTCTGTCTGTCTGTCTGCGCGCCCTAAATAACCCAGCAGACTCGAGCCAGTGACCACGGAAATTGACCGAGTCAAGTACTAGATTAGTACGGAGAGATTGAGACAGAAGGAGGTACTGGATAGAGAGACCAGGATGGTTTTTAATGTGAAGACAACAACAACAACAACAACCAAGCGCGGTGGGTTGTCCACAAATGACCCCGATTTTTCAAACTTCAACAACACGATGAAACATGCACAAGCTAGTTGTGGCAAGAAGATGAACCCAGCCATTACATTGAGACTCAGCTCTCGCGTCGATGAGACTCTGCTCTCGGTTCACACCCTCCGGCCGAAACAAGTGCAACCATTTCACACATACACACCACTTCAGAACACGTTTAACGAGGTGTGCACCAGCACGGGGTGGTACCTCGTGCAACCAGTGACATACCCTGACATGCGGTTACATGCCGGACACCTGCCGTGACATGCGTGACAGTTGGGAAGCGGAAAAAAACCTTCCCAGCATCCTCACGTCCTCACCCGTGTGGGGTTACCAGTCCGCCCTGTCCAAGCCACACTTCCTGCCCGCGCGTGTCTGGTCTACACTACTGCGGAGAGTACATGTGTCTGGCAATGTTGTGCGCCCATGGGGTTCAGCCGTCGTTCGCCTGTCGTCATGCAGACTGCATGTAAAAGGCTTGCTGCGGTGGTCGCGGGGTTTCTTGTGTTGGGGACCACGTGGTTCTTCCACTCCATCATGGCCGATGACAATAGGTATGTCGGCGACTGCGAACGCTATCCAATTTGTATCTCACACGTTTGTCTCCCACGTTTGTGTTGTTGCGTTGTGCTATGCTATCCAATGTGAATCTCGCGTATGTGTCGTTGCGTTCTGTTGGCGTTGCTGTCTTCATCCGGCTCTCCACAAAAAAATAAGTCTGTAGATTTGATACTGCTGACTTCCACAGCATCACGCCGATACTGCTGTACGACTGCTGGACACCATCGCGACACCTCCTGCTGCTATAGTCTGTATATACCAGAGCAACACGCCGAGACTTGCAATGTGCGCCTGCTTCGGCCCGTGATCCGACCTTTCTCAATCCGACCTACTGCTGTCCAACTGTCGTATTGCGTAATATACCACACCCCCTGGACCGATCTTACTGTTGTTGTAATATTCGCGCTCCGATTACCCGAGCTCGACTATACTGCTGTGCCAATACGCGACGCCACGAAACAGTGCGTGTGTTCTCTGCTGCACGACAGACAGTGCGTGTATTCTCCGCTGCACGAAAACAAAACATGCGGCCTCTTCACCGCTGCAGTCTAATTTCAAGTCAAGTAAAAGTGTACTCTTAAAAAAACTTTTGCGTATATACTATGCTAGTTTCCAACTCCTCCGCCTCCCTGCCGTACTCTATGTTGGACTCCTTCCTTCGTCGCCCACAACAAGCTCACTTGCTGCTGTGGGAGAAAATGGCCCACGCAGAAGCGGTCGTAGCCGGATGTCTTCTTTTCTCCTGACCGAACATCCAGGAAATTTGCCCGGGCGTTCCCGGGGACGGGGGCGTGCCCGTGGGCGGGGAAGAGGACAGAGGGGAAGAGGTAGGGGGNGTTTTTTTTTTGCGAAAAGAGTGGCCCGTCAGGGGTACGTTTTTTGTTTTGTTTTGCAAAAAAAAAGCTGTTTAGAGGGATCGTGTGTGGAGTATGTGCGCACGAGAAAAATAATAATAATATTAGTTTTTTTTTTGAAAAAGTGGGGCCCGTTAAGGGTACGCTTTTTGTTTTGTTTTACAAAAAAAAAAGCTGTTTAGAGGGATCGTGGGTGGAGTATGTGCGCACGAGAATAAGAATTATTTTCATGCACAGGGGCGTGAAAATTTAGCCATGGCTGTCTGTCTGGTTTGTTGTTGTTGTTGTTGTTTCTCACATAAGCTCTAAAAACAAAAAAAAAAATGGGAGCCCGTGGTCTCGAAACCCGGCATACACGACCCCACGAAGAAACAGAAAAAAATAGGGTACAAAAACCACTCGGAAGAGAAACAAAATGATAGAAAGAAAGACCAGCTACCGCACCAAACGAGAAAGAGCGTCGAGGAGACCGATCAAAATAAAATAAAAGGAGAACGGGGAACGCTTCCCACACCCGCCTACAACGCCGGAGGGTTCCGTGCCGGGTTCCCGCCGACCAGGCATCTGGTGTCTGGTGTCTGTTGACTTCACATTAAACCGTATGCCAGTTGCTAAATGCCAAAATCTAGCAAAGACTCTCGGCCCGTGGTCACGAAAGTGCTAGAGCCATCTGAGGATCTAAAGAACACGCACACGTAGCAAGAAAAAGGTGT